AACAGTAAAAAATTAGGGTTTTGGTTCTGGCAAAGAAATTGAAGTTTCCAAGGGTCCAATCAAGTCCCACATGCCTACATACATTGTCAAGCATCCATATGCCAAGTTTCAAGACTCACAACACAAAATTGCAGTCAAAAAACCCTAATTGCTTCACAGTCAACTGCAGGGGCAAAATGGTCATTTGACAGTCAAAAGTCAAAATTTTTGGTCAACATCTTATTTTGAAGCCACAAACATCATTTGATCAATTCTTGATCATGATTCTCAAGGCATGGCTCAAAAAGTCTCAAGATGCAAAAGTTTCTATTTTTGGACAGTTGAAAAAGTCAACTGCAAATTGACTAGGGCATAACTTCCACATGGTTTATCAGAAAAATTCCATCCAAAGCTCATTTTGAAGAGAATGACATTTCCTACAACTCATCTTCACACTTCAAGTCCAAGAAATGCTCTCACAAAAAGTTATCAATCTCAACATTATAGGTCATTTTCAAAAGTCAACAAAAAGGCACTTTAAGTCAAAGACCATAACTTGAGATTGGTAAATCAAAATGACATGGGACCAAAGACATTGGTTAGAAGACTTCAAGACCTTTCCAAAATGTCCAAGAACATGATCAAAGCTTAAAAATTGAGCAAGATATGCCTTGTGGAAGTTGGGAAATTTTTGGGAATTTTGAAAAGTCAACTTTGCTTCAAATGCCTCAAAATTGCTAATGGGCCTCAATTTCTTCCATGAATCATCACCTAAAGGCCATGCACGACCCATTGACTTTAAAGGGAGTTATTTTCTTATTTTTAATTAATTAATTGAATTTTTAATCTTATTAATTCATTTAATTGAAATTAATTATGAGAAAAATACTAAATCATACTTTTCAAATCTTTTTGTGCATAGAATTCACTCAATATTTCGTGCACCATTCAATAAGGAAAGATTCAATATGATTGGCATAAGAAAGGCATGAAAAAGATTGAAAAAGATCATGAAAATCAAATATTCAAAATCATCAATGCAAAGGCTTTGGGCTTGATTTTTCTGACCTAATTCATTAACATACATAAGCATAAGTGAAACCTAATGCCAAGAACACAAGAGCTGCGCCCAAGAACAAAGAACACATTGCAACTTTTGACAAAAAATTTGAAAACTGAAAACCTATTTGCAAGGTGTTTCAAGGTCTGAAAAGCATTCCAATCCACTCCTGACATTACCAGGAAGCTATTCCAATCGAAACCAACCTTCCATACTCAAGGAATCGGTATAACAGAGTCTTGCTTTCTTTGAAAATTTTCATAATCGTATTCCATTTTCCATGCATTATGTGTGACTTTTAATCATTGATTTGTACTAACATGAGTATTCTGAAGCTAATGGCATGCTTTGATTGAAGTATTAAGCCCTGTATAAGAATCCACCATGAAAGCTTTTTAGGGTTTCTGAAGCTTTGATTTGGGGTTTCACACATAAGGAACAATTGGCCTTTCAAACCTATACCATTGGATTCAGGACATTCTGACGAATAGAATCCACACCCCGCGCCCTTTTTCTTTTTAACCATGCTCTAATCGCTATTTTGCAGGTTGAAGCTTAGTGGGGGTTTAAAACCCCCGCTATCTGTTTTATAAATACAGGCAAAACGAAGAAGCAAGGAAAGAGACGCTGAGGTGTTGAACGGTGGTTGGCCAGTTTGAATAATTGGCGCTTTTTTTTATTTGTCCAGCATAATGTTTGTTTTCCCATTATATTAATTGTGTTCTATTATACTAACAAATAAACGCGCTAGTCCAACTGGTTGGTGCGTTGTCATGCAGGCACTGGGACCTGGGTTCGATTCCCAGGTCCCCCATATTCTCTATAATTTTGCTTGTAACGTGATCAGGTGTAATTCCTACCCAGTGACCCACCATACATGCATATGCCTGTGCTTGCCATCTATGCATAAGGATCAATCCAAAGGCCAAGACGTGGAGACTATCATGCATGCTCAGTCAACCACAAGCACGTGATCACT